GTTTTTATAGAAGTAGGGCGAGAGAGTACACTTTCTACAGTCTTTATAGAAGTAGGGCTAGAGAGTACACTTTCTACAGTTTTTAAGGTTCTTACAGATTTCGGTTGAAAACTGCTTTAAAAAGTCAATGGTGTATTTTTATAAGGATGAATTTCATCCTAGAACATTTATGTTAAAAAATGGATAAAAATATCTGAATTATGCATTGGTTGGATCGTCCAAAACAAGGTTTTCGTGCAATATTTTTATTTAGTTCTCTTTAAGTTGAGTTCATTTTTTGGTGGAGTTATGCCCCTTTTATTGACAAAACAAGCATTGTGTGGTAATTTTGTACTGTAATGCTAGAAGCAATAATGTTCATCATATATTACAGGTTTTTCTGTTGAGTTTCAACTTTTTGCGATTTGGCGTATCACACTGTTCATCGTTGTTTGACGTTAAAATTTGCTTGTTTCGTGATAACTCAATTCGAAACAATTTTCTCACTAAAAGCGCTGAGCAGGCGACACATCTACTCCTGTGGAATTCTTGTTTGGGTATAATAGGCCTTAAAATGATTACCAAGTCCTCCAATGTAAACCTCTTCATGCCATTTATTAATGATAATGCATATGTACACCGTAAAATTGTGTAATTTTGAATTATGATCACATAAAGTATTCCCGATTGTGGTTTAATGTGACCTTGGATGTAGTTCTATGTACTGGATCAGGAGACATTTCTAATTAAGATAGGGTTATTATGCAATTCTTTCATGTAACCTTCTGATACCAATTCAATTACTGTTTCGGTAATAGGCAGTAACTGGTACTAAATCTACCATCAATTCATTCCATAGGTACAAACATTTCGCAATCTAACTATGAAAATCTGAAAAGGTAATGGGCTGGGGTAATTAATTAATTAAGTTATGAGTGCAGGGGTATCATTATTTGGATTTTTTCCCCTCAAACAACAACTCATATATTGACTATTTCCTGCCATGGCAGATACATGAAAGAACTGTGTCGTGCTCCCAAGTTGAATTTTCTTGAATATTGATAAAGTGGTATAACATTTTGAAAGAATGTATTCTATGGTAGTTTTTATTGGTACAATAGGAATGGTTACAGTGCCATTTTTTATTGTGTAATTCAAGGGTTTCATTTGTAAAAATACCCTCCCACTACATAGTTCTACTACAGATTTTTCACTAGCTACTTTCATGAAAAAAAATAAAGAAGGGTAATGGCACGCTTGTACTATGAAAATGTCCTGAAACTAACAGCCTACTTTTTGTTGGACACAGTTTAAGCAACTTTAAATGTTTTTGAAATCCCTGGTAATTACTAACAAACAAAACCACCAGGATATATAAGTTCATCAGAGTCCAAATGATGACCTATTTATCCATTATTTCTCACTTAAGTAAATTTGTTAAATAAAATATTTAAAATTTATTATCCATATAGGTATTATTTTTTGCTGACACTTGTGGCACACCTAAATGTTGGGAGTATCTGTGAGACTACAAACCTATACATTATATGTATGTACTTGTACAGCTGTAGAGATTAGCTGGTACATCATGTAGTGCATGATGGCCTACATTCTCACCACACTCATTGTTACCTTGGTGTTAATGTTAAAACATGAACAAACCTGTACCTGACCCCTACGTGTTATACTCTATGATAAATAAGCTGTTTAAAGGTTCAAGTGAGCCAGAATAAAAGAGATTTAAGTGCAGTTATAACACTTACCTGGAATTGCACCCAACCAAATCCAGTAGTTATCCAGAAATGGTTTGAGCAATAATTGGGCGATTTGGTACAATTTGTTGATCAATATTATGGAATGGAAAAAATATGGAAGGTTCGTACTAGTATACAATAATTTACACTGTATTTATTATTGTAATTTCGCATCACAATAATTAACATTACGTACAATTTACAATGCATGTAACACAGTATTACAGTGACCGTTACACTGTCAAGAATAGATTTGGCTCCTAACTAGGTATCAGAACAGGTAAATAACAATTTGATGAGTGACCAGAGTTTTAACTGGCCTGTGCCTAATGGGTAGAGCTGATATGTGATACCATATACCGTTATGAAAACACAACTGGACGTTTAGTATTTGTTATTTGCATTCGTTTTAATCTAAAGCTCCCCTTCACCTGGTTTTCACACCTTGGTGTGTTACGTAAGTGCCCCAAGTGGGGGAAAACTACGGTCCAGGTACGAAATGGCTATGTTTACCTGTGTTGCCGAGGCTGCCATTTCTAAAGTATAGACAGAAAGATAAGCTTGTCGATGAAGCTAGAATAGGGAAGGAAACATACTAAAAACATCAAGTTTATATGTCTAAACAGCAAACCATATATATTGTTAAGCCATTCCTCAATTTACACCAACCACGATTGTTATCGCACAACGTTCTTTGATCGTCCGCACAAATGTGCGCAAGCAATGATCGTCCAATTTTTTATCGTTCGCACATTGTGCGCACACCGCACATTGTGAAACGTTGTGCAATCCCTCAACTGTAACACTTGGCATAAACGTACAGTTATAAATACATCAACTAATTCAATGGCTATAAGCCCTGAATAATTCCTAAACCCAATTCTTTCTGTACACTTTTGAAGTATCAAGCTGATTAACTTGAATATCCTAGGTATACCGCGATACCCAATACACATATGCTTGCTTGATACAGGAAACTTTTAAACTGTTGATTGTCCCAGTTAAACAATTACTTCAAAATAAAGTGAATTACCTCAGTAATATAGTACTGGCGATAATAGATATCAACATAAGTAATTATGTTTTGGAAATACTTTATTTGTCCTAGATAATACGTATGTAAAGAGTGAGATGCTATTGATCCTATAATCAATAGGTCCTAATGACTAGACCTGTAGTTTTGTCTATAACTGTACCGTATTTATTCTAATGACTTGTATGTACACCTGGGTCCCAACAGGCTGTTGATGTGGTATTTGCACTGATAATAAACATGGTTAATTATGTATTGAGTACATGTATTGTTGTTACATGTCAGTGCTGTGTACAGCTACCAGTAATTAGATGCCTATTAGAAATTGATTTCAGTACTTTACATTAAAAATGAAAAAGAAAATTAAGGGTAGTCAATTTCATACTGATCAATTATACCTGATGGAGGGAAATTGATTTCAATCATTTTCATAAAAAATAAGATAATTCAGCGAAATCAATTTCATACTGATCAATTATACCTGATGGAGGGAAATTGATTGCAATCATTTTCATAAAAAAATAAGATAATTCAGCGAAATCAATTTCATACTGATCAATTATACCTGATAGATGGAAATTGATATCAATACTTTTCATAAGAATTAGGATAATTAAGGGAAGTCAATTTCTTACAGATCAATAACACCAGATGGATTTTTTTCATGTTGGATTTTCTTTAGACAGTTTAGTCAGTCTAATTCTACAAGTACATTAGATCTGTTAAGCTACACACATTCATATTTATATATGTATAACTCTGAAACAGTGTATTTGAAAAGTTGTTTACTAAAAGACATATCATTATCTTTTTCAACTGATTTAATGATGGACAAAAGTTTATGTTGTTCATATTGCCTTTTTATGGAAACCATGTTGTGTTATCTCATTTCAGAATAGTGTAACCTGAGCACCATATAGTCTGTAGCAATTCAGGTTGATCAGTGTTTGCCTATAAATGTCAGATTAATGGATAACACCAGTACTAACAGGCAAATGAATGGAAATAAAGGTAGAAAGTTGAACCTTAATGCGTTAGGGATTATCAGTAGGGCCAGACCAAATAAAGAAATAGTCTCAGGGTTTTAATCTTTGGTGTAGAAACCTTTCTTGTTGATATAATGGGCATTAGGTGTATACATATCAATACCTACTGGGTGACATATTCGGCTTATTGTACTTTATACAATAGCACCAGTAGAGTACAGCCTGGTAATTGATAGAGGTTTTAAGTTCTGTGAAGTTTGTAGGAATTGTATAATATTTCTTCCTTTTTGGATATATACATTATTGTTTGTTGTTGAATGTCCTTGTGGCAAGGATCATAGATATTGAATGTGATGAGTGCATTTGTGTGGAAGGATCTACAAGCTTGATATAAACACACCTGTGGATTTAGGAGGAAACAATTTGAGATACCCAAAATGTATGCAGGTGAACCTCCCAGGTAGGTCTAGGTTTTATGGAGGTAATTTGAAAAGAATAATATTTATAGACTCAATGTAATTTAAGTTTGAAAAACCAATACCTATAACTTATATAGCCTATAAAAGTGTTTTAAAGAATGATTTTATTAGATGAAATGTTTTCAGAACAAAAGGTATAAAATGCTGATTCATCTTCTCCAAGGAGTGCTGCTGTGTGGTACGATGTCTCCTCTCTGATTCTTTGAGATGACTTTAAATTTTACAAGGTTGTACTTTCTGATTGAATTCACTTACAGGATTGTTGGTAACATGATTGCCTCGAAATTAATGTACCAGGTATGTTGAACATGTACTAGCTTATCCAATCTTGTTAGAGTTACTTCCCTTTACCTGATCCTGCTGCTGAGCTCTCATAGTCATGAATCTTGTGGGATATACTTACCTCTGAAAAACATAATGAACTATTCCAACCTTTGAATTGGAAGAGTTAAAATGTGTCTTCAGGGGTGAATGAGTTAGTTTTCTTAATTGCTTATTCCATAAAGGTGTTTTACATATATGCATTCTGAGATGTTTCTGATTTGAAATATATGAAAATCTTTATTTATGAGTATGGTGATCAGTGTTAATGTTTTAACGGTTGATGGAAATGGACTGTTTATTAAGTTACGAGTGTGTAGTTATTGTGGGAATATTTAATGGTTCCACTATAGTACTGGTAGAGGTAATATAGCCTATATTGTACCACTGTATAATATACACCTAAGTCTTTCATCCATTAAATACCTGCCTTCAGTCCCTGATCAGACATGTATTGCTACATTATATACATTCAATCCAGATCACTTTGGAAGCTGATTCAATATTCATATTTAAGAGAATGTATTATTGTTAACCTGTCTACCCTCCATAGAATCACACAGGGGCATAGTAAACCATTTATCTCCAGTATACGCCACATACAATTACTACCATATTCTGTGTAATTAGTGTCTAGCACTTAAAAGTGCTCCTTTCCTAACTACCATATTCTGTGTAATTAGTGTCCTTGCCCTTAAAAGTGGTCCTTTCCTTTTTTGGGTCCCCCTTTTGGGCAATTATTATTGAAATCCTATATAAGCACCCCATTTTCTGGACATACCCTCCATTCTGACCCTATGTGTTTACACATTGCTGGTACCTGTACATGTTTTACTTTGTACTATACACTTTATATATATGGCATTATTTGTGGATTGATGGAGTGGTTAAACACTCTGGCCTTTCACCCGGATGGAAGGGGTTCAATCTCCTTAGTCGTCACACGCATGGATATTCAGAGATAGTGTTTTTCTACTGTCCACACAACTCCAACAACCCAGGTGGAGTATAAATTGGTCGGGGTTAGATGTTGAGGTATCTGTGCAGTAGCATTCAAGTAAGGTGGCACTACAAAGAATGCTGTTTGAAGCACTGTCCCACTACAAACAGAACACATCACATGTCCAGCATACACGCAGGCATACACACATAGGGAGATATTAGCCAGGTGGCATAGGACTAGTAGTTAGCGCCTGATAAGGTAGTTCCTGTGAATTCCTCAAAATTGTAATGATTAATGTATATACTAATTGTATTAATTGTATATATTAGAGTCTCATGATGAACTGTTTTGCAGTTCACCTACCTATAAGGAAACGACAGCTTATACACTTTATGATTCTTAAACAGTCGACATTTTGCCACCATTTTATTCAGTGTAACTAGGATATTATGTACTAAGTGATGATGATCACATATTTCATGCACCCTTGATATGATGGCACGGTATATTGGATTCACCATCACAACTAATTGTTATAGAGGGAGAGTGATTTTCCATTACAAAGACATTCGTTATGTTCGTGTATAGACAGGCATTTTTTAATCTTTAAATATATATGTATATAACAAAGACTTTCAATAAGAAAATACCCAGCTATATAGTACCTACTACAAGCTGGTGTACAATAGGAGCTAAATTAATCATCGTTGGTGTACAAAGCTGAGGGGTGTTTATTCAACATTATATAGCTCTTTGTTAGTGTTAAGTTTACCTGTTTCCAGAAAGTTTCAAGCAAAGAAATACGCTTAAGATCCAATAACAACTGTTTACAGACATGAAGCAATATTATAAAATCATGCCCATAAATGAGATATTCAATTCCCTATGGTGGCCAGTATCTGAAATCGCACCCTCTACTGTCATTATTGGAAAGCATATCCATCATGTTGTCACTATCAGAAAGCACACCCCTATATATAGTTGTCAGTGCTAGAAATCATGTCTAAGGCTGTCAGTATTGGAAAGCAAACCCATATAGCTTGAGAAAAGATTCATGTACAGTTGTGTGACCGCACAACGCACCAAAACTAGTGTGCGCACACCGTGCATACATCGTTCAAACACCGTCCGCACATCGTCCACACATGGTGCGCACAACTGTGCGATTTAACAATCGTTCGCCCCATTGTGCGCTTCTCTCTGCACAACTGTGTGATTATTTACAATTTGTTGATCAATATTACGAAATAAAATAAATATGGAAGGCTCATATGCAATGATGTACATGTACGCTGTATATATTACTGTGATTTCTCATCACAATAATTAAGATTATGTACAAGTTTCCAATGCGTGTTACACAGTATTACAGTGACTGTTAGACTGTCAAGAATGGGTTTGGCTCCTAGGTAACAGAACAGGAATATAACATTTTGATGAGTGACCAGAGTTTTACCTGGCCTGTGCACGTGCCTGACACATATAGCTGATGTGTGATACCGTATGACCATTATGAAAACACAACTGGACGTTTAGTATTTGTTATTTGTATTCGGTTTGGCTTATAGATCCTCTTCACCTGGAGTTTTACACCCGATGAGTTACGTAAGTGCCCTGGGCGGGGACAAGTAGGGTCGAGGTTCATGTACAAAGTAGCTACATGGTATGTTTACCTGTAAACAGGAACTGTGTTATAATTGTACATGTCGATTAAGGTCGTTAAAAAAACACTGAAAACACCATTTCTAAATTCAGGAAAGTATACACAGATTTGTTTTTATGGTTCACATACCGTGCGCCCTCCGCACATCGTGTAACGTTGTGCGATTCCACAACTGTAGTACAACCAAAAAGTGTTTATACGTGACGTTCGATAGTCATCATCGAAACGTCATAATTATCGAAACGTCATAATTATTGAAACGTCATAATTATCGAAACGTCATAATTATCGAAACATCACGTATACATATTTTTTTATCTTTTCACAACCCATATACTTACCAATTTACCTGAAGAAAATGTTTAGAAACACACCCATAGCTGTCACTATTGAAAGGTATACCCATATGATATAGCTGTCACTATTGAAAGGTAATACCCATATGATATATACATGTAGCCGTCAATTTTGGAAAGCATACTTATAGTTGTCTGTCTGAAAATTATGCCTATTGGTCAGGTGACTATATCAGAAAGCAAACCCATAGTTATCCATGTAAGAAGTCATGCCCATTGCTGTCAGTATCAGAAAGCAAACCCATAGTTGTCAGTGATTCAAATCATGCACACCCATAAATGCTGTTTGAGTATTAAAAATCATACGGTGATTACGCCATGGCTGTCAGAATTAGAAATTAGACACAATATAAATAATCACACTCATACAATGTAGCTGTTAGTGTTGGAAATTTATATTACGCTCATGGCTTTCAGATTTGGAGTTAAACTGTGGTTATATATGCATCAGAAATCACACTTATGGCTGTCACTGTCGGAAATCACACTCTCACGACTGTCAGAACTAGAAATTGTGCCCATGCAAATATCTGTTAGAATTGAGTCATGACCCAGTGGTTATATTAATGTACCAAAAGCTATTCCCATATCTGTCCATAGAATCAAGTCACAACCTTGGTTATACATCGATGTACCAAAAGTTATATCATATCTGTCCATAGAATCAAGTCACAGCCCTGGTTATATATGTACCAAAAGTTATATCATATATCTGTCCATAGAATCAAGTCACTGCCCTGGTTATATATGTACCAAAAGTTATATCTGTCCATAGAATCAAGTCACAGCCCTGGTTATACATGTACCAAAAGTTATATCATATCTGTCAATAGAATCAAGTCACAACCCTGGTTATACATGTACCAAAAGTTATATCATATCTGTCCATAGAATCAAGTCACAGCCCTGGTTATACATGTACCAAAAGTTATATCATATCTGTCAATAGAATCAAGTCACAGCCCTTAGGTTATACATGTACCAAAAGTTATATCATATCTGTCAATAGAATCAAGTCACAACCTTGGTTAAACATTTATGTACCAAAAGTTATATCATATCTGTCAACAGAATCAAGTCACAACCCTGGTTATACATGTACCAAAAGTTATATCATATCTGTCCATAGAATCAAGTCACAGCCCTGGTTATACATGTACCAAAAGTTATATCATATCTGTCAATAGAATCAAGTCACAGCCCTGGTTATACATGTACCAAAAGTTATATCATATCTGTCCATAGAATCAAGTCATGACCTTGGTTATATATGTACCAAAAGTTATATCATATCTGTCAACAGAATCAAGTCACAACCCCGGTTATATATGTACCAAAAGTTATATCATATCTGTCAATAGAATCAAGTCACAACCCTGGTTATACATGTACCAAAAGTTATATCATATCTGTCAATAGAATCAAGTCACAGCCCAGGTTATACATGTACCAAAAGTTTTATCATATCTGTCCATAGAATCGAGTCACAACCTGGGTTATATTATGTACCAAAAGTTATTCCGATATCTGTCCATAGAATCGAGTCACTGCCCTGGTTTTATATGTACCAAAAGTTATATCATATCTGTCAATAGAATCAAGTCACAGCCCTGGTTATACATGTACCAAAAGTTATATCATATCTGTCCATAGCATCAAGTCATAACCCGGGTTATATATGTACCAAAAGTTATAACA